CTCAGAAACCCAAGGAGGGGTCGCTATGAGTTGGGGCCGACTCGATGGCACATAACAACAACAACAACATGTATATATATATATATATGTATATACATATGTGTATATATATGTAATACAATGTAATATAAATTTATTCCTAGAACAATATAAATTTATACTTAGAAATAAATTTGTAGAGAGGAAAATAGAGTTGGGCAGTGAATTTATGTTAATAGATGAGAAAATAGGGTAAAAATGCGAGCTCTGGTAGCGTAGTGCCTAAGGCACTTGACTGCTGCTAACCACAAGGGTGGCAGTTCAAACCAACCAGCCACTCCTCGGAAGGAAGATGGGACAATCTACTTCCGTAGTGATACTGCCTCAGAAATCCAAGGAGGGGTTGCTATGAGTCGGGTCCAACTTGACGGCACGTAACAATAACAATAACAACAAGGTAAGAATGGTTACACAACTTGGAGGAATGTTAGTGAATTGCATCTACAGAAATTGTTGAATTGGTTTATGTTCTGCTGTGTTTTGATAAAGAAAACAGAATTAAAGTGGGAGGGGAGCTGTTGCATTGTGGTAAACTGTGGTCAATGTCATGAGACAAAACATATGTGAACCGCTGTATGTAAAGTGAATTTGCTCTGTAAACCTTCACCCAAATCACAATAATAATAATATAAAAAGATAAAAACAGCAAAAAAAAAAGAAAACAGAATTAAAATTTTTAGACTTGCTCTCTCTAAGAAGTCACTGAGTTAATTCTTAAAAATACAGAGAAAAATAAAACAAAAATAATTTTTGTTTCAGATCTGCAATGTTTCATATCCTTTTTAGAAACTATCCATAATTCTTTTCTCATCTTGTCAATGCATGACTTCTGCAATCTTTCATAAATACACGGACCTTTTTCCATACTATGGAAAATGGCTTCCTTCTAAACGATTTTACCCACACAACTTTCTAAGACATTATTTCTGAGACTATATTAATAATCAAGTTCAAACATTTTTCTCACTCCTCTACCCTTGATCCCGGGCACATAACACACTGTACTGTACATTGTTGAGGCTTTGTTTTCTTTTTATTTCCAAGACACTGTACTTTTTGACTATCCTTATTATCTCTCATCGTGAGTTTCTTCTCTGTCTTTTTATTCCTGGTTTTCCTGTCGTCCCATCCCCAAATCTAGAATCCTGGAAGAACTTTATTTATTTATTTTTAAAAATGAGATAAGTAAATTTATTTCTAAGCCTGAAGAGAGGAATTAAAAATTGTATCTACCTATTGTGAAAACTAAATAAATGATTTGCATAAAGCACTTGCACAATAGTAAGTACTCAATAAACATTAGCCACTATTCTTATTATCATGGTTATTTTTGCTGCGATTCTAACCAACACTGATAGTCCTTGAATCCCTGAACTCCCACTGTTTATGTACAGGTTTATGTAACAATTATTTATATAAAGTTAAATGTGTGCAAATGGTAATATCGGGTGATTATAAGCCTTATCTGCACAATGGGATCGGAAGCTCCCTGACAATAGAACAGATTTGACCTCTTCTGAGTCCCTGACCACACTGAGCCAGTCCTAGGCCCTCAGGTCCTAAATAAGTGGGATTCCAAGCACCTGTACCTGTGGTGAGTGGGAAGCCCCAGCCCATTCCCCAAGCTGTGTCCTTGCTCCTCAGTCCTCTTGGTTCCCTCAGGATTGAGCCCTTCTTCCTGTAAGTAAGGTAGAGTTGATCTCAGAGAGCTCTGCCCAGGTGATGGGGGTTAAGCACTGCCAATGGGCCTGCCTGAGGCCTTGTGGCAGCGCACACAGCTGTACAGAAATTAAGATGGTGAGTTACCGTGAGCTCCAGCCTCAGGTTGTCTCTGCTAGTGTCCACTGTAGACAGGAACTCTCTTCCGTTTGTTTTCTCCATCTCCTGTTCACGTCAACTGAAAAACAAATCCAGGGCCAAAGGCTGAAAAATTGGTATTCTGTGCTGTGGGACTGAGGAGAATTTTCAGGGCCAGCTAGGGAAAACTAAAACCAAAATCCTTAAAGGTATAATTGATCTCTTTAAGAACAGAGAATAGATAAGATTGGGCTATAATTTTAATATATTAAATAATGAAATATAGAATTCTAGTTCCTACTGTGAATAGCTAAGGAAAGGCCAATAAGATTTAAAAGAAAAAAGTTGCCTTTAAGCTGACTCTAACTCATGGTGATCTCAGATGTGTCAGAGTAAAACTTTGCTCCTCACGGTTTTCAATGATTGATCTTTTGGAAGCAGATCACCAGATTGCTCTTCCAAGGCACCTCTGGCTGGACTTGAACTTCCAAATTTTGGTTAACGGTCTGGAGCAAGTTGGCCGTTTGCACCACCCAGGGCAATAAGATAGGAACAATGACAAAAAAAAAAAAAAAGAAAGAAAGAAAGGAAAAAAAGAAACCTGCACTGTCTGGGGAAGGGGAAATAAGAGAAAAGAGTAGAAGACTAGGGAGGAAAAAATGGGAAAAATGCAAAAATAAAAACAAAGAATGGGGTTAACCATGAGAAAGAAAAGAAATGGGAACCAGGCACAAGGAAGAGAGAAAAAGCTGAAAACAAGGACCTGGGAAGGGAAAAATAAAGACTAATAATAAAAGGATGAACAAAAAGAAGAAGAAGAAGAAGAAGAATGGTAATAGCTTTAAACAGACAAAAACAAATAAACTGGAAAAAAACAAAAAAAAGGGGAAAGGGGCAATTTTGGAAAAAAAAAAAAAAAAAAAAAAAAAAAAAAAAAAAAAAAAGGAAAAAAAGAGTAGCTGCTTAGACTGCTTATATACAACCCAAAGCCTGGTTCTTTGGTATGGAGATTTAGGGTCATGGTTTCATAGGACATCCCAGCTAATTGGTCTTAAAATGTGCTTAGTGCTTCTGTTATGTCTTCTAATTTGTTGCTTAGTGCCTGGTGTTCTGTAGATGTAAGGGAAAAGTCACTAGAAAGTAATTCAGTTATACATAAAAAGAAAGATCCCTACTAAAAGGAAATGCATGAAAAAGCATAAAGGTAAGTAATAAGGTATTCATGCTTGATAACTCTAAATGTTTTGTCCTTCATGTTTTTAAATAACAAATACATAAAAGGCAAGGATAAAATTATGAGGCATTTACTTCTATAGTAGATTGCTGGCATATAACAACAACAACAGAAAATGAAAAGTTAGGAAAAAGAGACTTAAAGTACCAAAATTCCAAGGAAAATACGTAAAGGAAAACTATTTAGAAACGTAACTGCAAAGATCTTTTCTGATGGCTGAACTAATGCATAGTCCCTTGACAAGTATTTTGTCTGACCTTACCAGTAGAATTTTTAATATCACTCTGCCTTGAACCTTATCCATAAGTATTTATGTGACAGTCTAATGTTTACAGCAATCCCTAAAATATATTTTTACTGTCATTTCAGACATACCTTCTCTAAAAACTATGATTCTATGATTTGAGAGACCACCACATGTTTTTCCCTAATTAATTTTCTTTATAAAAATAACTTCCTATAATAATAACCCTTCCTTCAAGTAAGTGGGTGTTGACAGAGTGTACTTAATTTTACAATAATAGCCCTACCTTACTGAAACTCTTCTAGGTTATCTGTCAATGATTTAAAATATTTCTAAAGAAGAAAATCAAGATTTTAAATAGATATATTTATATACTCATTAGGAGAGAAAAATAAGCTGTAAGCCAAAGATACCTTTCTACTATTGAAACTAATAAAACCTCTAGTTTTATACAATAAACATCAAATTTGAAATTAAAAAAAAAAGCAAACAAACATTTGAGCACTAAGAAGAAACTAACATTTGTTGCCTCACTATAAGCAACCATAATAAATGAACTTTCAAATTTGTAATATAATTTTATTCTGAGATATTTCTTTATTCTGCAGAAAATTTCCTTCTGTTTGGAATTATTTGAAAAGAATGCTGCCTCTTCAAGCATTTAAAATATAATTTTATTAAATAGACAGCTTTTAATGTGTATATTAGGGCCATCTTGTGTAGGCACCTGAATTTAATCTAACTGAATTTAGTCTAGACATGATTAATCAAGATATTTGGCAAACCAGGCTCCTGCCCTCCCCATGACCCTTGCTTACCCCAGCAAGTGGGATTCTTTTGGATTCCTCAGTGAAGAAAGAAAGAAAAACTCAACTCCAAGAGACTCTGACTCTTGGCAGCTAGGGAGGAGGGTGGTGACTACATTTGATTGGCTTGCTTCACCAATGTACAATCAATCATTGGATGAAGATATAACCAGCAAGGAGAGAAATTTGAAGAAAGGCAGAAAAGTGTGACCCTCCCTGCATGTAGTCAAAGAATGGAGCGGAAGAAAGAGAAATTAATTAAGGTATGGAACAAAATAGTAAGAAATTAAAGAATGGAGGGAAAAAATGTGAGTTGGGTGGGGTTGTCTGCCAGATGCCATCACATGCACAAGTGGACTCGGCAAATCAGGATAAAAATTTAGGGATTATCCTGAACACTGGGGAGGCATTTTACTCAGGATAAGCCAAAAAAGGTGAAGTTATATTGGTCAGTTCTCCATTTCAGAAATGATATTGGTCAGTCACCCCAATCCACAGGGATGAAGGTGGAGTAGAAGAATGAGCACTAGAGACGGGGAGACCAGCCAGGAGACAAAAGCAATAGCCAATGTTGGGAATGGGGAGGCTCTAACCAAGCAGTAGAAGAGAATGGATAGACGGAAACAAACCTGTAGGACTTGTTGACTGAACATGGAGAAGAAGAGTGAAAGGGGAGACGATAGTCCTTCAAATTATTCAAAGTGAGCTGGTTCCTGCCATTAAATACGCACACACACACACAACCCAAACTCACTGCCATCGAGGGTTTGTGAGGCATTATCTCTAGGAAGTAGATTGCCCAATCTTCCTTCCAAGGAAGGAACGTGGTGAGTTTGAACTGTCAGCCTTCTGAGTAGCAGTCAAATGCCTTAGGCACTATGCCACGAGAGCCACCAGAGCTCCCCTTAAACACACAATGCTCCCTAAATGTTGTCTCGTTCCTATGTGACTTTGTGAATGCTGTTCCTTCTGCCTCCCTACTTCTGCTTACTTATCTAGCAAACTATACTTCCTTCAAGTCTCTGTGTCAAAGCCACCCTCTTCAGTGAAGCTGTCTACAACTCCCTCCAGACAAGACTTAAGACCTGTTTTCCTGGGATCCTACTGCACCGTGTTGTTACAGACCTCTACAGAACACATTGTTCTCTAAATATTACTTGTCTCCCCATTCCTCATGCAGAGGCTTTTTATCTTTTTCACCACGGTAACCCCACACTCAAGACCTGCCAGAAATTAGGCAAATTACAAATTAGTAAATGTGGTTTAATTAGGAGAAAAAAAAAAAAAAAACAGGTTCTGGTTTAGATTCTTGTTTAGGTTCTGGTTTAGATCACCAAGAAAAAAAAACCACATTTATATTTCCCCAACTACATACATGCACACATGGACACACACACACACACATATCTAGAAGAGTAAAATGTGTATTGTAATGTGGCCTAGAGTAAAGCACTTCACCTCTCTAGATCCCACATTCATTCTTGCTCTACTTACTTCTCTAGTGTCATAAGATTATCATGGCACTAAACATATCATTAGAAGCTCTGGTAGCATAGTGCCTAAGGCACTTGACTGCTAACCAGAAGGCTGGTGGTTCAAACCCACTAACCACTCCTCAGAAGGAAGGTTGGGCAATCTACTTCTGTAGTGATATCACCTTGGAAACCCAAGGAGGGGTCGCCATGAGTCGGGGCCAACTCGACAGCACATAACAACAAACATATCATTGAATATAGAAGAATTTGGAAAACAGTAAAGAACTTCCAGTGAATAGTAGGTTACTATGCTAAAGTCTTACAGTAATTGGGGAAAAGAAAGACACTAAGTAAACCTGCTCACAGACATTTTCCAGCTGGTGTCTGATTACCATCTCAATGTGACTGTGAAGTCTCTTTATCTCATCCTTCTCACTCTGTGTTTTTTACCTTAGGTAATTGCTGGTTCTGATGCCAGGTCCAGGTGTAATGATAGGCACAGATCCTAGTGTTCAGTCCTGGTGAAATGTTGCCAGTGATCACATCTCTCTCTTCTCCCATTCTCCCTCCTTTCCTCTTTCTTTTCCTGTAAAAGAACTAAAAACCATGTCTTCATCTTCTAAGTGCAGCCTACAGCCTCAGCTCACTTTTCCAAGGAGTCCCTTTAAAAACAAGTATTGACATAACCCAACTGCCAAGAGGAAGAAAATTAACTCGCAGGTATCTCCCCTCAATTAGTTGGCTCAGGAACAAATTTGGGCATTCATTATTTCATTGTTTTCTTTTTGTCTTATCACATGTAATTTGATTAGCAAACTCTCTCAAATTACAGATCAGGAAGAAAGAAGTGATTTACCCAGAGTCAACAACTAGTTGGTGAATCAGCCAAGGCTATATCCTGAGTCCTCATTTCCAATTCTGTGCTTTTTCTATTGAGCCATGGGGTTCTAGGTTAAGTGCAAGATACTTGTGTTTCTATAGCATTATACAGTCTTTCCAAAGATGTTCCTATACTTTCACTGCTCATCCTTACAACATTCTGTAAGATAGTCCAGTCCATTACTAATCCTATTTTAGGTACAGAGGTAATAGGCTCAAAGAGGATAAGCAATTTTTCTGAAGTCATAGAGCTAGTTAGGGGCAGGAGACAGGATTAGATGCGACCTCTGATCATTTCAGTGGAATCTGGGCCTTATAACTGTTCCACAGCTTAGGAATTATTCCTGGAAAACTATGTGGCCTGCCATAAACACTTCTGAGAAATAAATAGTGTATATTAAAAATATATTCTTTTATTTTTCCTGCTTTTACCCTTCCCTTGATTA